TATGTACTTTTCTAAGTATTTTTTTTTATTTTTTTTTTTTTTACTTAGAAAAGTGTATGAAAGTATTTGCATAAGTAATTATTTACTTACATTTTTAGTTTGGTACAGTTATTTCTTATCATAATATTATAGTAGTAGTATAAATATGTTTTTTTCAGTTAATTTACTTACCTTTTATGGAAGTTCTTGTTGTCCTCCGGTTCTTACATCATCATTAATATTTTGAGTATTAGTTTAATTTTTTTGTTTCCTTAGCTTTAATAATGATGATTAACCTGAGTGTTTCGTCCGTAGGCATATACATCATAGTTCCCAACCTGTCAGTCGAAGTCCGATTCTAATCAAGAGCACATTCGGAATAAAAGTACATTCACCAAGAATTTTTCTCTGTTAAAAGATTAATATATCAACTTAACTCTTTTATCAGCGTATTGTTTTTCAACGTAGGCTTATGACCAGGGCCCAAGCAAAATCTACGCTACATACACTATTTTGTCTTCCTTCTCTATATAAGTCAACAAACCATGGAATAAGAGATTTTTTTTCAAATTAAAACGTTTAAACTATTTCAAATGAATATGATGAGCTAAGTTTACTTACTCTTGGTAATAATGAATATATTTTATTTACATTACATAATTTTTATGTTATGTAGTTATTCAATTAATTGTAAATCTATTTTCGTATTGTAAATTTAAAATAAAAATACTTTCGTGTTTTAATGGTACAACAGATAAAACTATTTTTGTTATTATCTTCTTGTATATTATTTTTCTATTTCTCTTTGTATCTATCTGCAAACTATAAATCTCACCATAGCATCAATTCGTATAAATTACCCATTCGTATAATTCATAGCCCAACAGTGTTTACACTTATATAGCAATGCATTTGTTTCAGTCTTCCACGAACTATTTTTTAAATCCAACACTTTTCCGATATCAACTTAGAAATTATTATCAAATTTTAGTTTATTGCTTTAGTTTTGAATATCTCTCTGCGTTAATTTATTTCACTGAATATGCTTTAGTTGCTATGGTGATAGAAATCCAACTCACTTGCAGCATCGTTCTCCTCTACCACATTTCAAAGCTTTCGAGGATTCGTTGTTCTGTTTTATTTAGTATCTAGATTTCGAAACCGTATAGCGCCACACTCCATACGTATAATTTTATGAATCCTATTATGACTTGAAAAAAAAAATTATATTTCATATCACAAAAATTGTCCCTCAAGTATGAATATGGTACAATATAAAATACATACAGGTATATATAAATATATACTATAAACTATGTAAAGCGCGTTCGACGGCTTCCGGTGTAATACTATACGAATATAAACAGACATACTATTGTCTACTATTGTTTCACTCCAGTGCGAGAAGGTGAATCAAAATTTTACCGATCTAAAATATAAAATTTGTCGTCGTACTTTAAGACCCCTAAGGATCTTAAATATACAATATACAATTAAATACATATTTTAAAAACTCGACGATTTATTTTGGCTTTCATTCCCGACACCACTTGAAACTACCTATACAACGTGTGCCACTTAAAATACACCACTACAACGATGCTTATATATATATATATATATATACATTATTATTATGCACCCAAGACATGGTGTGGATCTACGTGGTCCTTAAATCCAATGACCGGACTGGATTAAAAGTTTGATCAGAAGACCCAAAGTCGAATCGACTTGTATACGGGTAAACCCTCTTTTATAGGCAGAACCGAATAGTAATCGAAACGGATTTCTATAACGTCTTTGAAATTGGATAGAACGAGAAAGAGGGGCTTGAGTCGATGCTGATGCGCCGATTATTTGAACCGACCACGGATCGCGTGCAGGTAATTTTTTAGCAGCGAACATAAATGATTGAATGGTCTGATTAAATATTAAACTCAGGTTACGTCATTTCACATGTCAGTCGAACCAAAGAGAAGCAAGATTGCGATAATAATTTACAATATGATGTGATAGCCCACGAGTAGAAATGAAATTTTGATGTACCTATATAATAATATGAATTCCTTTGTATGTCCCATACATGTCGAACTGACATAAGCTTTGTTGAGTTCACGAATAATAATTTGAATATTGTCAAATCCAAACGATTCGTACAAAATAAAAATTATAAAATTATGACACATTTACAATTGCATAATCATTTTATTTATTTATTTAAATTATCTACCCGTGTACATAGAACTTGAAATAATATAACTATAAATTATAATGTGCACAATAGTTAAAAGTAAAATACATGAACATTAATTTATTTTACGATTAATATTAACAGTATTGTATTCATTAATACGTTAATAAAATATGGCATAGATTTACATAGATATATATATATACTATAATCAAACCAACAAACAAAATATCGTACAGGTCCTTTCATTTATGTTCTTACGGCTTTCAACGTTCGAAATAATCAATTTTGAGATATCAATATTTTAACCAAAATCTAAATGGATCCGTGAGCTATAAATAAAAGTATTGAAAATATTAGAAAATAAGGGACGTAATACAAAATTAAGTAAGTTTATCTTTTTTTATGCCTCCCAAATAAATTTTCAGTATAAGAAATTCAATTGTACTGATTTTATACTAAACATTCATAAATATTAATTGCAGTTTGAAAACAAATCAATAACATTATTAATAAATAACAATGTAATAAATGATCTTTTTTTTTCAAAAAATTTATTTTTGTTGGAACTTAATGATACGTTATTGACAACAGAATATTTTAAGAACAAAATACATAATTGGTATAATATAAAAAAAGCTGAAATCGTATTTCAACATAAATGTGTATAATTTATATAACTTCATTATGAATATATAACTAGCTTCATAATTATAGGGAGGATTTTTTCAATTAAACAAACTTATTTTTAAAGTTGTACTCAACACGCATATTATGACACATGTTGAATGTTTACAATACAATAGATATTTGTTGCTTATTTCAATGTAAGTATACTCATTATTATTTATGCGTTTTCAAACATTGTTATGTAACATTTTAATACCCGACCGATTACATAATATTAAAAGAGAAAATTAAAAAAAAAATGTATGTATAAATAAATAAATATATATATATATATATTAAATACCATTTCTACAAAATATTTTATTGCGGATCATCATGAAAATAATTAAAAGTAATATTTGTAATTATTTTTAAAATATTTCACAGTGAAATATTTTATTGAAATGGGATTTAATAAATGTATTGTCATGAGGAGGGGTAATCAAATATCTACCTACCATTTTAAATGAGTTGTTTTATTCTTTGCAGTTGTTTCTAACTATAACGATTAATTATACTGATCAAATATACATATTCTAGAAGAATAATTATTCTAAAACATTCAGAAAATTCTATTATTTTAAACGTTAACCCAAATTTAAACTAAAAAAAAAATGTGGAAAAAAGAATACCAGTCACGATAACCACATAATATATACAAATCAAAAATATTGGTAAGATCTAACAAAATAATAAAAATAAATTTTGCTAATATTAGTTTGATTCGATTGTTCACAATTTAATAGTTTGATTGTATATGTAGTCTAAAGATATATATAACATCAATCCTAATCACCATGTAATATATAGTTATACGTTTTCGTGTACGTTAAACCGTTTAAAACAATAATATTACCATTTAACAAAGTCATAATATTTATTCAACATGTATACAGCGCTACTATGGAATATTAATAAACTTTGTCGCAAGTTAGTCACTTGTAATAAATTTGAAATCGATGATAAATCATCAGTAACCCGTATCCAGAAAAACGTTAGTCGTCCCATTCGTCTTCTTTGGTTCGATTCTCTTATACCGTACCGCACTTATTTAATCTAATCTGTAAAGGGATAATATTTTATTACATGGAAGTATAATACGCAGTATATAGATCCTTTGTCCGAAAAATCGTTTCACGCATAAAACAAAAAAAAAAAAAAATGAAAATCGCATCATTTTAATAAACCATTTCTATACGCTATATGTATTCTAAATTTAAAACATGTAGACCCGAATAAAAACGTAGAAACAAAAATTACTGTGCGTCTGCAATAAAAATGGTGGCACCGATGTATTATCACATAAACGGTAGTTAAACTCAATTCGCATACATTGTATTGTTATAATCAAACATTTTTTTCCCGCAAGATTCGTTAACTGATCGAGAGCAATAATAAAATCTGTTGGGACCGGCAAACGTCCATGATTAATTATAACCTGTCCAACCCATTGTTGTTATACGAGCAGCAAACATCAATCAACCGTACCGAATGGTTGTAACTCTTTCTTGCACGTCCTAACTAGATGGAATATTTTTTTACACAAAATTAAAAAATAATAATTAATATGATACAAACGGATCAATTTTATTTTTATTTTATTTATTTTGTATTGTTTGTATATTTTTTTATCGAAAAAATATTTTTGGGAACCAAAACAATTGTCGACAACCATTTTCAACGTAATCATATGTTCTTACGATTATTTATCGACAACGTGGTATAACCATTAGGAAAACAAATACAATTCATTAAAAAAAAATATGTGGTCGACGTTCCTTTTCGACAACAATACAATACAACTGAATTCTTTGCATAAGACCTTTATCTATTGCACGTACAAATACATAATATATTTTATTTCTAATTTTTTTTTCTCAAAAACAAATTTATTCGTTTTTACACATTTTCGAATTGAATTCAAAGAAAGTGGTTCAAAATATTCAGTACACATTTTATTTAAACTAAAATGTATACATCCAGGGAGGGTCGATAACTATTTATACTTCTTTTATAAAATTGTCAGGTAATTTATATTCAATATGTTAATCTTTGGAGGGAAAAATTACCTATGAGAACGAATATTATTTACTGTAAACGTATATCTGTGCATACCATGCTGAATCAAACCGTATGATTATATGGATTATTTTTTCTTCAGGTGTTTACATTTTGGCATGGAAAAAAGGAATCGCAGTGCTAACAGCAGGAAGTACTAAAGTGTCTCCCGACGAAAGAATACGTCTGGTGGACGGCAACAACCTAGAAATCCGTGATATTCAAACAAACGATGCCGGGAACTATGTGTGCCAGATAGCTACTCTGAAGCCCAGGGAGATATCGCACACCGTCGAGATACTAGGTAAGCAGCTAGTCTTCCGTGATCTTATACGCTTATGGTGTAGCTGGCTCGTTTCGGCAATGTGTTTCATATCGAATGTTGCCGGCCTACGCGTATAGGTGCACGATACTAGTAAAAATCGCGTGCAACGATGTACGGCAAAATCCGCGCGAACACTCCGCGCCCTCCACGTGCACTTTAAACAAAAGTTAACGTTTCGAATGATTTTCGTACGCCTCGACGCGTAAGTCGGTTTGCGTATTAATATGGACGCGAACGCTGCGTTTTATCGCACGGCGAACGAATCAAAACCCATCAGCTCAAGTGACTCCGAAGTTACGAAACCGAAACATTTTCGAGCGTTTATTTTAATTTTTTATTTTATTTCTTTATGTTTATGTACACAAAAACGCATTAAAAGTGAACGAGACCGATTAAAAAGCGAAAGTAGTCCTCCGGGAACGAGTGATCCGTAAACACTTAACGTTGCGCAGAACGGGGAGTAAATGAATGGGAACAATTGGCGGATAGTAACGTATACGAATAATTATTTGACACGAATTCCTCCCCAAACCGCGTTTAATATTTATGTGAAGCTTCTGGCCGTGAAAAGAGGTGACGTGTTCACTCGATGTGCCGGAACGGTGCGCGGCACTTTGCGATTCCCCACAGAATTGTCGGAGAAAAAAATACAGAAAACCATCGAAAATTCACACGGCCATCAAGATGGTTTTAGTGTTTTTACATAATTAATGAATACAACAGAAACCCTTTAAAAAAATAAACGAAAAAAGAACTGATACTTACCCGATCTCCTCTTTAACTTTTCTTTTCTTTTTTTTTTTTTTTATTGTTGTATGTATACAATTAGTCTCGACAATTATGTGAACATGTTATATATGATTAATTAAGCAGCTCAGAGTTTCTCTTTAACTTACCCTTTTAGGCTTCGGTCGCAACAGCCGTAATACGCGCTAAACCACCGTGTGTACGTTTTATATTTTTTTTACTTATTAGACGTTTCCAAGCTGCCAAATAATAAACACAGTGTTATAAAATATAATAGCTTTACGTTGGGGTACGTGTCTATATATATGTATAAATTATGCAATATAATAATTATAGTTTTCACCAAAGTATATACAACAACGTTTATAATAAACTCGTTGCTTTTTTTTTCAATTATTCTTTACTGCCTATTCATCGAAGTAAATATACGTTACGACGACTTGCTTTTAAAAAATTAAAATATCGTAAGTTATTCTTTTGTACTTTCGACTTCGAAAGTTTGCGATCTCATAGAAATAAAAACATCCATTGGGCTTTTTATTAGCATACTCACACGGAAACCCCTGCGATTTTATCGTTTGGAACTTATGAGTATAATGTTTTAAAGTACGCATTTACGAAATCATATTGTTTCCGTGAATGAATATATTTTTTCGCTCGACTCTTCGTGTCAAAGTCGAATATTATACATCACGTGAATAACAAAATACATCGGCTTTCTGTTTGTCGATACGATATCCGACTCAATCGGAGCACTGTAAATATTATCGCCGTTCGTGTTTTGAGCACCTACGAGAAACGGTGCGTTTTTATTTTTTTTAATCTATATTTCAATGCATTTCCTGCAGCGTTCTCGAAAACTGTGCGCCGCCACCGTATTTCGCAATTTAATAACGTGCGCAGAGTTCAAAATTACTATTTCGGGACGACACGTTGAAATGATAAAATCCATACGTCGCGCAAGCGTAATTTTCTCGCCGCGCGGTTCAACGGTAAATCGAAAACGCGCCGCGGTAAAAGATGTTTAATTAAGTTTCGTGATGGATCCGTTCCGACGATATGCTTGGGAAACGCGATCTATCATACCACACACGCCGGTTAATAGTTTAACAGTGGAAACGAAAAGCGCATTCGGCAAACAGTAATAACGTACCGTGACACCATTAATAACCTGGGTGGTATGCGCGGTAACGTTGCGTTTTCGTTATGTTTAACATTATCCGATAACAACGTGTCACATGTCCCCACCTCGATTCGTGGGCCAAAGTGATGCACGTCATCCAGTGATACAGTCGCGGGGTACGGTCAAATATTTAATAATAATAATAATAATAATAATAATAATTGGCGCACGCAACTTTTGCCGTTCGTGTGCGGTTATGTCGAGGGAACGGAATAATTCGAGCGGCAAAAGGTTTCTTTATTTATGCGAAATTAATAAACACTTAAGACGTCGAATAAGAAATGTATAAACACTCCAATGTTGTATTGGCAATTTACCCGTTTCATGATTTATTATTTACATCTATACACGCAGAATCGATGCACGTAATTACGAGATTAAAATAAAGTGTGCGGGATTACATATTTATTGATTATTTCGATTGACAATAAATGTGTTTACGAAGAAAGATTTTAACTTAAAAGTTTGAATTATTAAAATGCGCGTTTTATTGGAAAACTCCGTACTCCGTACAAACAAAGTAATTTACAGCACTAAAGCAGTGTACGGAAACACGCTTGTTCGCGACGCATTGGGTATTTTTCAACAATGTGAATATATTATAATACAATCGGTTAGTGATTAAATTTTTCGTTTCGTTTTTTATTAATTTAAATATAGAACAATTTACAACCCGTATACAAATATAACACAATGAGTAATTCTATTGACAATTTCTGACTAGGCTTGACAGCAAGAGGGAATTGGGGCGTCCATTGACACTATATACATTTGTTTCGATTGAAATATTATTAATAATGAAAACCAGAGTGTCATCGGATGGATGATTGCAAGTAACTGAAAAAAGTTGAAAAAAATTAATTTACGTTTTTTTCATAGTAACCAGCAAGGCCGTACTGGGTCAGAAATTTCTACCGGAAAAATAGAAAAAAAATGGCCCATTGTATGAAAACAACCCTAAAAAAACGTATATTTTCATACAAAATTATGATTTGTTATTTTTAGAATTTGAACACTTAATACTATTATTAAAAGACACTTTATTTAATTTTCTATTAGAATGCAATCCCATTAGAAAATGCATCTATGTTTGTTGATACAATGAGCCTAAACCGATAAACATAAACAAAAAAATTTCCCAGCGAGTACAAGCGGCCCACCAGGAAATTTCCGGTATCCCGCCTGCCCAGTCCAGCCCGGGTAACCAGCAATACGGTTGTGATTCTCTGCGTAGTAACTATTATTGGGTATATTGTTTTTTCTTCGAAAATCAAAGGGCAAAAACGAGAAGCATTGTGCACCAATAAATTTCAGTTTTCTTCATCAATCGTTTGTTTTTAAAGATTAATTAAAATATAGCTCTTTATAAAAGAAATGTAATAGAATCACGACTGATTTTCTAAGTCGTAATTTTAATTAAAACCCCATAGTGAAATACTTTATAGTATTTATCTGTGTATAAAAAGTCCAAAATATTACGAAAATCCAAAAAACATGCTTTTTTATCTTTGAGTTGAAAAACAATCATCCATCTAAAGAACTAGTTTGTGAATAAAAAAAAAAATACACTAAAGTTACATTAACATTATACAGTTCAAATAATTAAATTCAAAAGAATTTTCGTTACATAGCAAATATTTGTTAAAACATATTTATCGTTGTTCTTTGTACTATTTGTTGTCGAATAAACTTTATTGTACGGAAAAGAAAAAAAAAAAACCGAAACATTTCGGACCGAAAATTTCTTATTTTTACTCCTTATTATCCCCGTATTTACCCTTAAAAAAAAAAAAAATCACGATATCACAATAGGTAGGGATTTTTTTTTTTTTTTTTTTATAAATGTTTGTTATTGTTAGTCCCTGCGATCAAACGGACCGCGTTCACAATTAGTCTTAAAAGACATACATAATCATGCTAACCTCCATTCTAAGATCACATAAGTTATTTAGGTAACCGGGTTTGGATCCATTATTAACGAACAGCCGTTTAGTGGTAGGGACCACCGGTACATGCACTACGCGCGTATATATCCACGTAAAATATACAGTACGCCGGACGACGGCGACGACAAGCCCGACAAGCAAAAGGCACTCTCGGCACAACAACCGATGGCGGCGCGTAACGATAAGATTTCCGGATTTGACGGCGGTCCAAATGGGTATAATTTTAATACGATCACGTGGCCTAGAACACGATGCGCGTATAATAATAATAATAATAATAGCGTTACGATGGCAGCGTTCGTCGAGACGTTACGTTAATTACTACTGAAATATAAACGTATCGCCCATCGGTTGACGGGTACGATAATGCCCCCGTGCCCACGGTACTTCACGATTACGCGAAAGCCGTACGAAATCGATGATTTTCAATCGCACCGAGTTGGTCCTGCGGTGATCCTGCCGTGCGATGTTATCCGCTTTCAAATATCAATACGCGCGTGCCCCCGCCGACATAACAATAACGTTCACCCGTGTTTTTCCCGGTACGTGCGCGGTGGAACGTCTGCGAACGTTTCGCGATACGCCGAGCGGGAAATCCACCGGGTCCTCACTCGCGCGGCACAACGCGCGTAACGTAAAACGGATAGATACACCGCGCACGTAGCGTTACCGCTACGGCAGGTGTGGCCGACCTTTGCTAAAACCATCCGTCGTATCATGCCGGTACCGGATCACAGCGCTCGGCCGCCAGTGGGCAGTATTTCGGTACCGTCAAAAATGTACGGCGAACGCTACGCCCTTGAGGGGCGGCCAACTGTCGGGTAGCCCGTGCGGGCGAAGTGTTGCCGCCCGTCGCGAACGTCGCGGCGTAAGCAATACGTTTCCGATCGGGTACGCTCTGCCGCGATGACAACGTACGCGCGACGGCATTACTGCCCCGGCCGAGAACCGGCGAGACGAATCGTTTCGCGAGATGGTGCGCCGGCGCCGTAGCGGCGGTCGTTTTCGGAAACGACACGTGTTCGATTTCGAACGCGCCCCGGGGCCGCCCGAAGTCCGTACGTGCGCACGCCGAACAACGGTGTCCAGCGCCCGGGGATCGG